TAAAAGTGGATGTACTTATAAAAAGTGTTGATGGAAATAGCGGTACCCTCTCAAAATCTGCTGCTACATGATAAAAATTCTTTTATAATCAATATTTTTATATTAACATATACCTAAAATAACTTCTAAAAAATTGTTTGATAATAAAAATTGAGCTCTAAAATCAATTTCAAATGGGGCTTGAACGTACTGTTATATATGTTTAGTGCATAATATAAGATACTTATTACTTGACAAAATAATATACAAGACTTTAACTCAATTTTCTTTAATCGTATTTAATATTCCATCCAATGTACTAAACATGCGCTCAATGTTTCATGTTGGTTTGGGTCGAGTGCGTTGCGCATAACAATTATTTTGAGCTGTGGCTGCTCATTTCATTTAATAAATGATGTCAACAATCTTCCTTTTGACTTTTAATCCAATTTTCTTCAAGTTTTCTATAAGAACTTTGCTATTTGTCCATATTGACACCCCGGATGTACAAATAGTGAAGTTGTTTCTGATCTGCAAACCTCTGCTCATCTATGTATTGAAATCAAATCAAGAATTAATCCACAGAATCTACAGAAATTAATATCCTTCCTCTACTAAATAAATTATTATAAATAAAAATAGCTGTACAAGTAAAGGAATTTTGAACCAGATAGTTCTGAATCGTTCAAATATTTGAAATTATGTTTGTTTGACTCAGATTAGCTTCAGGGTTCAGTCGGAACTGAGTTAATCTTTGAATGCGCTTTTAAATTTTAATAATGTTGAAGATAAATATATCTTTGAGCAGCTTTTGTAGAATGCATTGCCAACTCTCTTTCTCTCCTATGAATATGGGAGGAGTTTATTACGTAATATAAGATTAGATCGAATATAAAATGAAATAATTCGGATATAAATCGAGCTTGACCAGATTTTTAGGTAGAATGGTTAGCCACTGGTATGCCTTGTACTTGGCCTGTCACAACTTTTGTAGACCATATTGTCGAGTTTAACTCCCCTTGTCTCTCTCTTCGATGAATCAAAGGATGTAAGTAGACATATTTAATACATATATTAGATTAGATAGAAACAAAGATATCATCAAACAATATAGAGGTTTAAGTCGAGCTCGTCGGGTTGGCTTGACCTACTTTCGAGGTGTCTTTTGGGGTAAAGATAGATATATTGTTGACATACTAATTAATTATCCAATAAGGCATAAACTATTGTATTATTGATAGGGTGGATTAAAAATACAAAATTTAATTAAAAACAAGATTACTGCAATTTGAGTTATCTTTATAATTTAATTGTGTTAATTTTTATATTCCTCAAATATTGGACTGCTGGATATAATTAAATAATTGAACAGTGCCAATATATTACGTGAGTGATTACATTTTTTAAATGAAAATTTACATAGGGTATGAACATGTTTTTCAACACATAAACCCTTCAAAGGAAATTTCATCGCTTTTGTGTGGAAGAAGTCAAAACTAAAATATTCGTTTTACATTTATCCGTCATACATTCGAGCTTGTTTGGTACAACTTAAAAAACTTATTAAAATCAATTTTTTGACCGTTATTTTACTATTCTAACCGTCATTTTTAATTCTTCTCTCACATGTAAGACTCACTTTGTCTCTAACGGTCAAAAAATCAATTATCAAAATTTTTACCAAATAAGCATTATCGTTTCCATTTTAGCAGGCCTATAATATCGATAAATGTTCTCACATTATATTGGTGTCAATAAAAATTACCAGCAAAAGAATAATACAATATAAGCAAAATTTCTTTAGTTGATTGCTCATCTAAATTTCTCTTTTTAGTTTACCATTAATAATCCATTAGTTTGAAGAAATAAAAATTAACAAATTGGCATGCATGTAGGAAAGAAATTAAACAAGTGTGTCCTCAACTAAAATTCTGATAAATTTTAAAATTTTTTCTAAATTTAGATATTCTAAAATGAAATTTCTATGAATTTTATTGAAATTTTACTAAATTTAGATGTCCTCAACTGAAATTTTACCGAATTTCAATGAAATCCATTAAATTCTAAATATTCTCGATAATTTATAGATTCATAATGATTTCAATAATAGAAAGATTTTAAAATATATTGATGGATTTCAAAGTTAAAATACATGTAACAAACTCTTTTGAAATTTCATTATTTTCAATTAAATGAGATTTTTATGTGTTTATGAAAACCTATATAAATCCGCAAAATATCATTAAAATTTATAATTTGATAAAATTCAACAAAATCTCAGACACTCCCAAAAGCGAGTTGCAAAAGTCAAATGTATAAACTAATGGCTGGCAGCTGGCTTATATTAACAACGGGCCGACACAAGAAACTAATGGAAAATGGCATCGCTGTCACTATCACACAACAAATAGGAATGTCTACTTCAGCAAAACAACGAACAAGAAAATATGTATAGCCACCATAGTTTTTAATTTTTAATTTTTAGGCATTGGTTGGTTCAATTAAAAAATTGAAATAAAATCTAAATCAAAGTAAGTAATTAATTTTAATCATATTTTTCAATGGGGTACACAAATTTTCAACCACATATTTTGCCTTTTTTTTAAAAATAAACTAAAAATCCAATTTTATTTAAATAAAACGGGGAGCATAGAATATTGTTGTCAGCTAAAAGCACTTTTTTCTTCATTTGGATCAATAATTCTAAGTTCTGCACGACCATAACATGAGTGTAAATGATAAGTGAGTAGCAACTAACCGCTTCTTGATGATCATATTTAATATAATATATTTTTTCCTTTTTTAGAAGTGTAATTGATGTGATCCAGGAGACGCAAGCAACCAAATCAAGTCCAACGTCAAGCTCGGGGAAAAATTCGTTGAAAGTTGAAGGTGGACCTATGACACGAGCGAGGACAAAGCGAGTGAAAGAGGCGATGAGATTACTCTTCACGACAACCATCGATGAAATCATGTTCGGGACTCGAAATGGGACAAGTTTCGTGTTCGAGTCGAAAACCGAAACCAATTGGATCAACACGATATAAACAGCCGAAGATGGAGCTGGAGAGAAGAACCATGCGACCGTATGGTTAAAATCGTCCTGCGGCCACACAGAGTGAGGCAGGGAATTATTCGGGATTTTCGAATGTTCCATGCGGCTGCATGATTTTACACCATGCGACCGCATGGCTAAAATTTGACGCATTTTTTTATTTTTTCGTGAATTTCCTATTTTTGATAGAATTTGATACTTAATCAATTTCTTACCATATTTGAAATATTAGGCACGTTTTTACCTAGTTTTTTAGACATAGTATAAATACTATTTTATTTTTAATTGTAAGAACCTTTTGACATTATTCGTAATTTGAGAAGTTATATTACTTTCAACTCTTGTTCTACAATTGAACAATTCAAGAACTTATCAAAATTTAATCTTATGGCATTCAAATCAATCGGGTGATATTCCGTATTTTTGTGTAATCAAGAGGTCCGCACATTGTCGACGATTCGGGTTGTTTGATTCCAGATCTATTGAATTTAATCTAAAACATTGCTTTGACTTTCTTGGAAAGATTTCAATTTTGTTCATGGGTTTCGTAGCGTTTGTCTACACGAATTCACATCAGTAATAGTGATTTTTCTTCCTCCTAAAGGAGGCATGAGTCCAATTCATTAATCTAGTAAAATTTCGCTCTTATCACTTGAGTTAAACTTTATTTACAAAATTTTTTCGAAGTACGAAAAATAAGTCTTAAAAAAATTTCAATTATTTTTCAAGATCAAGTTCTTGTCACTTATTACACAATAAGCATCTAAATCGGATTGACCCAATTGCAGATATACCATGTACGTCCTAATGCCTGGCTCCCTTCCATGCAACACTTGCTATGGCGGCCTACGAGAAAAGCCATTTTCTTATCTTCTACTATTGGGATTTGACATTATTCCATACACTATTTTTTCCTTTCCATAAAGATGTCTTGCATCCATTTTTATTCTTAAAAAAATATAATTAATATAGTTAAAATAATTTTTACATTTTTCCTGATATATCCATATTATAAATTATAACTCATATTTGTTGATAACAAGACATATTAGACTCATTAGAAAATTGAAAAAAAATCATCTATATTCTCAACCAAAAAAAAAAGTAGCTTATAATTTGGGACAAAAAAAAAAAAGCAAATCTTTTTTATGGGACGGAGAGAAGTATTAATAAGGATGAATACTACATTTAAAAATAAGATTTGATGGTCATAATATCTATACCTCTTGTAATTTTTTTAATTTACAATAATATACGAAGTACCAGGATTGAAATCCCAATCTATGAGGCAATATTATAAGATTAAATGATACGTGAAATTAATTGACTCATTTATTTTTACATTTCATTTTACCTATCGTCTAACACCACCTAAACTAGAGATACAACTCTAATGAGACTAATTAGCATCACTGTAATCTAAAATGACATGTCAATCATTCATTGGGTGGACAATATATCTCAACTTACTTTGAATTGCCCAATGCATTAAAATCTTAACTTCATTGAATAAGTCTAAACGAACTCCACTGCAACCTAGATCGATACTAAGCATAGCATTAATTTTTCATAAATTCTAAATCAAACATATCCTAATTATGTGGACAAGCATTAAAAATTAAGGTCCAACGGCCATAATAAATGCTGCATTTAATATATAACTCGTGCAATAATTCAAAGAATTCAACAAGACTATGATCAAAAAAATCAAACAAACAATAATGCAGACAACTTTTATAACAAAAATTTGTTGGTCAAACTTTTGCACCAGGTCGAGTATGTAATAAATCGTCAGCCACCTCCTCAGCGCCGTCGCTTCACGACAAATAAAACTTTGAACGTATTCATTCAAGGTCTCTCTTTCTCTTTCCCTTTGGCGTTGAATATGCCCTCTTCCAACTTGTATACAATTTTCTATATATATAGCATCAAAAGTTGCTAATATTTCCATCAAGATTTGCTTTCATTTTTCATAGTTCACACTTTATAGATAAAGTAACAATAATGGACTCGTATTCCTATTCATCTTCATCTTCTTCTTATTCTTCATCTTCAAACCAGATTTATTCGTACCATGAAGAAGAAAAAAGAGGCAAAAATGCCTCGAGTTTTCGTTCTGCACTCCATTCTGTTCGTAAACTCCCAATGAAGCCGATGAAGAAACCGATAGCACCTTTTCCACCAATCCCACCAAAAGTCTACAAGGTGGATCCTGAAAATTTTAAAGAAGTTGTCCAAAAGCTTACTAGTGCAACTGAGTTCCAATCAACACGGCTGCAGGAGGTGGCGCCGCCACCTCTCAACCTTTCTCCACCCTGGCAGCAGCCACTAGTTTATCCTAATCAAGTTAAAATGCCAACAGCTTCCAAATTCAGTGATTTTATGACTGAAACACATGAGGAAAAGGCCATGAAGCCATCAGATTACATTTTTGGAGCCCTCAGTCCTCTTGGGTTCAATTTGTCCCCATCAACTCTTGCATGGTGTTCATCTTTTCTTCTCAGTCCTGGAACTCTATCTCCTCTCGAGCCAAGTGCAGTTCTTTAGAGCTGTGTTCAGTAAGTTGGATTGAATTATATTCATACTGCTTGAAAGACAAAAACGAAGTTGAAGCTTTGGCTATAGTATTGTCTAATTCTATTTAATATAAAACCTTTAGCATGCCCTAGGGTTTTAATTATGAAAATAATGTAATTCCTATTTAGAAGCATTCTTCTTGTTGTTGCATTCAGAAGAGTTGTATTTAATCCAATAATGGCTTAAATTTGATATAAACGGTTTGCGACATTGAATTCATTTTTTTCATCGAAGATTTTGTGTACACTATCTTCATAAATTAGGATCCAATACATTCCAAATTCAATATATTGAACCATGTTATTGAAAAGCTTGACCACGAAATAGATGCGACTTAAGGGCATTGGGCTAAGCTTCAAAAGGTAAAGTTTACTTCTATGTAATTTTTTGTTTCTAATTTTTTTTTTATTTTTTTTTTATTTTCTTACTTTTGAATATAAGAATTACTTTATTTACTATTTTTAAGCTTACTTTCAAAGTATAGCTTATTTTCAACTTAATCTATAAAATTTATTTATTTTAAAATTTACTTATTTAACTTATAAGTATTCTTTTTATGCTTTACCCTTGTTAATTTCGAACGTAAAGATTAGGAAAAATAGCGTCGAATGTCCCCAACCCATAAATGAAATAAGGAAATCGATCCTTAACATACTTTTCTTAGCATTTTGATCTCCAAGGTTTAATCCGAATGAAACAAGTCCTCTGTTTAATATATAAAAAACCTAGATTTTTATGTATTTTGATAAAAGTTGATGAAATATGTGGTCTAAAAGTTATGGAATTCATGAAATGTGTGATTAAAATGGATGACTTTGACTTAAACTTTAATTAATTGTGTAGCTAAACAAAATAGGAGCATAGTCATTTAACTATTTGATGATGGACATGACAAGCAAAAAATAGAAAAGGAGATTTAAATAAGTAAACACGACAAATTTGAATAAATTGAAAAGGTAAATACATAAATAATCATAGTAGATGGATTTTTTAATTTTTAATTTTTACATTTACTAAAAATGTCGGGTAACAAAAGTTTTAATTAGAATCTCTCATGATGTGCATTGCATGAGATATGTCTACGGTTAAAATGGACACAATCGTCAAGAAGATTCGAAGGACTAAACGTTAGATAGAACTCAAATATCTAGAGAAATTAATATAGACTCAACTACTCATTTATGGATCGGTTGCAGAGACCTCTAACTTATTTTCTTTAAGATTTTTATGATTCAAGGTGACATAAAATAAGCAAAATGAATGATTCTTGGAGATCCTATGGTTATACCTATCATTGACTTCTTATGATAATTAAGACGCGCTTCAATTTAGCATGAAGTATTTATGTGAATTTTGTGAAAACTTATTTTATAAGACTAATGTATGGTTAAAAATTAGATAAAATCCTGGAAAATACAAAATTAATTATGTTTGGAGAATGTGTACGTGTTGAAAACGAGTTTTAAAAAATGATTTTGAAAAATCAGTTTTAAACAAAGGCTAAATCTAAATTTTAGAAAATAAGTAGTTCCAAATTTTCAATAGCTAAGTGTTGTGGTTTCATTTTTTATTTTTTATTTTTTTTCAAGGCATTTATTATTAATGACGAAAGCGTTAAAGAACTATTAAAAATACGAAATTTTAAGTATAAAAGTTTGAAAGATGAAATTAAGGTCCCTAACCTTTGATCGAATATAATGTCCCCATTTGATTTTTCTAAAAATAAAAATTTTTAGTAGATCTGGATAAAATTTGATAGAATATGTATTTACCAAACGCGGACTATATAACAAACAAATTCACATATAATATTAAGTTTTCAGTGTTTCCATCACTTTTAAATATCAAAACCACCTTATCTTCTTAGACATGTTTTGCCAAATACCTAAGAAAATGTTTGGCCCAATTTAAAAAGCACAATTTCAGGTACTTACTTAGGCAGCGTAAAGCTAAAAAAAAGTCGAAGAAATGCCTTTAAATGAGGCCAAATATACTGATAATATTGGAGTGTTTCATCAAGTAGTGATACCTCTGTATATGTGGAGTATTAAGCCATTTAAATTTGCTTTGCAAACCTAAATCGGCTATGAATTAACTTCCCTATTTTTGAAATCTGCTTCCGACGTGAATCTCCTCTATCTACTCCTGATCAGAATCCTGCAAATTGAAATTTAGAACAGTGAAAGGAAAAAAAAAAAAAAGGCTTAAAACTTCTACTCGTGAGTATGTTTATGTATAATTTTTGTTTGTACGTAAATATTTAATGTTTTGTATTGATTCAAATAGAAATGAGTAACTTAATTTTAAAATAAATAACTTTTTTTTAGACTTATTGCAACAACCTGTTGGGAATCTACTTATACATGCACAGCGGAATTTAAAATATATTTCGATTCCCATCCAATAGATCTCATTGTGTTTGGTTATGAATTGTGATAAGATTGTACCTTTTCCAGATCTGCAATCCTTTTGCTTTTCTTTTCGTTCCACAACTTTGATTCGCCACCACAGCTGTCCAATTGTCCAGCCTCCAACGGTGATCCACACAGAGAATATGATTGCAGCCTCTAGGGTTTTCTCTTGTGCTAGCAAGAATAATGAAAACCTTATATGGACCTCAAACCCTAGTTATGTATTTATATAAACCCAAGCAGGCTCGGCCCGGTCCGGTTCGGTCCAATAATTAATTAATCCAATTAATTAAACCCGGTCCGTGAATTAATTAATCTAATTAATTAATTCGAAAATATAAATAACAAATCCAATTAATTAATTTATCCAACGATTGTTAAATTAACTAATTGGCAATTTGCAATCTTCCAATTCTCTTTTGTGTGTGACCCATTAGGTTCCCGACCACGATGCCTAACGACGTGAAATATTATTTTGATCTAATCAAAATTGATAAATTAAAACACCCCTTTTAATTTATCGTCAATTCACATTCGCCGTCCCTGATTGACATCTAGCAATGTGTCAGGGCAATACATGTGACGGGAAATGTCACGTGGTATGACAAAACCAAATTCGTTCGTTTACCGTGAAACTATAATCCCTTCGTCAATATGATCCGATCAATTACGAGATATGGA